TATTAAATCGTTGTAAAGATGATATGAATGCTAAAAATCAAATCAAATATTAATATACATTAGCATACGCTAATTATATTAAACACTTATTAAAAAAAATACCTTGATAACAATTATCATATCCTTGATCTTTTGGAGCTAATTAAACAAATCAGACCAATCAGACAAATTAGAAACAGTAAACTTAATTCACCACAAAAGAATATACTAACGAAGTTTGCTTGTAATAAAGAAATCTTCTCGTTTTAAATTCAATGAAGGATTTTTGATTAATTCATTAACAACTTTTCCTATAGTTTCTTCATTCCTGTACCCAATTGCTGAGTCTGCATAAAATAAAACAAATAAACTTGTAATGAAAAAAATTATGATTTAATGGAAGAAAAAATATATATATTTAATACCAATTAGCCTGTAACCAGATGACACAGCATTTTTTATTACGAATTCTACTGTTTCGGGATCTACTATACGATATGTACCCACTTTAGATAAATAGAAAGAAAAAGAATTTAGTAAATTATCAAAAAAAAAAATTTACAATGATTTATTTTAATGATAACCTTACAGCCTAGAGCAGGAATCGCAATTCCATTATTAAGAACAAATTTTGGAATTGAATTCATTTTTTTATTAATCAATATTTAAAGAAGGTTGGGTATTGTGGTACATCTAAGAGTGCTAATAGTAAAAGTCTTCAAATAAGCTAATATTCGACTTAATTCTATTGACAAACAAAAAAAAAATCTATCGTATGCAAAATCGATATTCATATTATGCAGATAACCCTTTTTATATTAGTGCTTTGCTGATCCTCAAATAGGAAAAAGAGAAATAACTATACTACAACATCAAACTTTTCCTCAAGTCATGGTCAGAATTGAATCATTCGATTCGTCACAGTAAAACGAATTGAATGGTACTAAAATTGTTTAATTCTGTTCGGTATATCGCCGAGTATACCATAATACTTCCCGTACCATATGTTAGATATCGATATGTATAATCACGTGTAGATAAAAATTTTTTTGAGATCAGATGTTGAAAAAAAATCTTTGACGTTAAACGTTGAAGTTTGTATGAAGCGCGTATATAAAATGCATTGCTTAAATTTACGAACAAAAGTACAAATACTCAACCGGATTTTTGAAACAGATCCTAAAACCATAACTACTATTATTATGAAAACAAAAAAACCTTTTAGAAATTGTTTTCAACCTTCACATACTTTTTCGCGAAATATTTTCGATATTTCATTACCAAATAAGAATGAGTTTATCCAAGCTTTACGAAAACAGACGATTGATACTGAACATTCTGGTACGATTAAAAAAGATAAAGAGAACAGAGAGAATAAAGAAAAAATGAAAAGAGATACTGAAGCTGCGAAAGTAAGGTTTGTTTTGATTTGTTTAAAATAAATCACTATATATACTATATATACTATATTTACATATATATATATATATTTAAATTAATAAATATATTTTTTTTATTAATTGATTTATTTATCTTCTTAGGCATTTAATAAAATTAACGAGACAGAATTTTCCCGAATCGATGAATCACAAGCACTGGAATTCTACAAAAATATCAACAATTCATATTGTTTCAAACGATTTTATTTAAATTTAATCTCTTATTTGTTACGTCAATGTGCAAATAATGATAGATTAGATTTAG